AAACCAGCAGTTCAATTCCAGGCTGCAGCAAAGTCAGATTGTGCAGAGGACTCAACTGATTCCTGTGGTCTTGTCCCGGTGGCCGTCGGAGTTGTGACGGCCACAAAATAACAAACAAACAAAAACACTTAAAAATCATGCAAAACCAAGGTGCTTAAGGAGGAGTAAAAAATAAAAAGCCTTTATTTTCTCATGGCTATAATGCTAAAAACGTATCAACACACACCCACACGATGTGGCTAACAAGCCTTCATCAGGGTGTAAAATAAAATAAAATCAAGTACTTGTTTGATGTAAATATACACCGTTATTGATATTGGTGATTGGGTTTGATGTGTGTATATATATATATATATATATATATAGATAGATGTTTTAGTGTTTTGTTGATTTTGGATATATTGTTTGATTTAAATATGTTGTGAATCCTTTTTTTTTTTGGATGATGTGTAATATAAACACTATTTTAATTGTAATTATATTTTACAATGTTGTTGTATTTTTCCCACTTCATTTCTGATTGAATAAATGCAGCCTTGATGTGCATTAAATACTTTCAAAAACATTCAAATATCTTTCCCACTCCACAAACTTTTAAATGGTAGTGTATATGTATGCTATTGTAGCAATAAATAATAAAATAAATATACATGTATTTAAACATTTATATTTATACATTTAATTTATTTTATAAATAGATACGAGTTGAATTATCAATAACAATTATTCAATGACATTTTTATTTTTTGAATGGCCCATAGACTGTGCCGTTGGTTTCTATTGGCCTGTATCTGATAGCAGATCACTGTCAGCACTCCCATTGGTTGTTGTCACATTGTGTTGATGCTCATTTGCATAAAACTAAGCTGTGTTCTAATCAAATCGTTGCATCACCAATGGTCCCGTCACTGTAAATTGCCAACTTCCATTGAAAATGAATGCTATCCTGTTGCTTCAATCTGCTGCCAGTGTGAACACCAAACAGACTGTCAATCCCTCACTGAGCAGCGACTAATTTGAGCTCTTTTTCCCCATCCTGTTCACTTTGTTAACTGTAACTTATCCATCAAATGGCAGCAAAGTTGAAATGTCTGAGTTTGAGCACTTTTTTTTTTTTTAAATGTTCTACTTTTTTCTTTGAATTGCACAAGCATGTAAGGTTGTTACAGTTACGCTATGTGAGATCCACCCTTCACCAAACATTTATTTTATGATAATGAGCAGCATCTGGTCATGAAAGCTGCTTGACATGTTCTGTACAGAAAGTACATCTTCTAGTGGAAGAATGCAATTTAATGAATATTGAAGTATTATGAATGCTGTTAGGTCTGCTGTATAAATTCTGAGCAAAACCTGAGCTCACTCCACTGAACTCAAGCCTTACAAGGGTGTATAGTTTATTTTGACCGCATTAAATCAATCACCTGAAAACCCATACTGATTGTGTACATGACATCACAATGGAGTATAGAGATCACAGATGATTTTTACATAGCATTTGCATATCGCTTTATGAAGCTCTTGTAAGAGATGAATAGTGTTTAGTCGGCTCTCCATACCTGCAAACTCAACAGTATGTTACAAAACATACATTAAAAAGACACAAATAAAACTGTGATAGTTCCTCTTCACAATCAAAAACTGCAAAAGACAAATGTCATTTTAAAGCATAAATTAAAACAATATTTGCAGCATATATGACAAAATATCCTTAATCTGAAATAAAGCAAATAAAAAAGGAAATTACAGTAAACAAACATATTTAAGGAATGTGTAGTACGCAAACGTGCCATCATTTCTAATACTATTTAGTCTGCTCTTGTAAGTCCCTTGAAATCAAAACACAGTCAAATTATGATATACTAATATCATGACTGTATGTTACAAAACAAGCATACATATTACACAAATCCCTGTAGTTCAGTGACTTTATGGTGGTTTGACTGGTTCATTATTACAAACACACCCTGAGAACTTTCTTCCCTGACAAAACGACGTCAAGAATGTCCGAGCATTTCAACGGAATGGGCAAAATGGAGCGTAAAAATATTATTAATGCCACAATTACAATTAAAACATTCTCCACTTGGAATCAATGCCAAAACACTGGAATTGAATAACTTTACATTGTATTTCGAAATAGAGAAAATGTGTCACTAGAAAAAGGCATTCTTGAAATACTAGCATGATTAAATGAGATGAAAATGCATACAGATCTGATTGTTGAGTCCTAGAAAGAGTCTATTAATATTTATTTAATGCCGCATTTGCAATGGTTTGCTTTTTCTTAATTGACAGGAAGGTCTCATGAAATCAGGTCACATTTCACCCCCAAAATAAAGGAAAGAAAACTATTTTGCTTCAAGTAAATGAAACCCAATTTAATAAAACATTTTGTTGCATTTTTAGCATTAATTGCAAAAAGTCTAATTACACATAATTCAAATTATTTTTATATTGGTGACTTTCTTTACACTAATTACTACAGTAATTTTAAAAACATTTTAAATATATGTATTACAGTAATGCACAAAATATGCCAACATATATAAATACAAAATATGGCAATACTATTTAAATATTTTGGCAGTGCAGTAATAAAAATATATATTTTTAATTTGGGGGAAATGTACTTAACTGTCATCAAAATAATGACATAGAACTAAAAATCTTAAAGGTCCTAAAAATAATTTTCTTCAAAAGAAAGGAGTATGATTTTTGCTTGATTTAAGGATGAAACACGACCCAGACACGTTCTTGACAGTTTTCATGACATTCAATCTTTTGACCGGGGATTGGTCAGTGGTTTCTATCAGTCTTTGTGCAAAAGCAAACGTTCAGGAATACACAGAAATGGTGAGCACAATGAAAACATTCAGAACTCAGAGAGACTAAATTAAAAGTGCTAGAGTGAGGGTGATAAAGCACAGGTGTTGATGAACAGGACCTCACCTGCATTAGTGCTAGCATGAGGTGTGTTTGTGTCGGGTCAGGTGCCGACCTCTGGCTGTTCACGCAGATACTAGGAATGGCTTTAGGGTGCGACCTGAAGCGGGGTTCAGGTTCGGAGGCGATCTAGTCTCAGGTCCCGGAGCATTCGGCTCTTCTCATCTCGAGGAAGCCATTACTGGGTAATAAGGTGGGTGCTCGATCGTGAACCGAGTCTTAGATTGTGATGTAATGCTGTCGGAGTTTAGCAACTAAAAACTCATAGGTAAGATTATGTCTGGTGATTATTCCCACGATCTGTAAGAGACACAGATGACAAAACACCACTTTATGAAACCATTCTTGCACAACTAGCTTAGCTTCATCCAAGAAAATACATTCTGAGAAAAATTTAAGAAAAAATATTACATTTCTTTCAGCAAATGCTTTCAGTGAGTCAGAAAAAAGCAGCAGCAACATTCTAAAAAATGTGTTTATGTGTGTGTGTGTGTGTGTGTGTGTGTGAGAGTGAGTGAGTGAGTGAGTGAGTGAGTGAGTGAGTGAGTGAGTGAGTGAGTGAGTGAGTGAGTGAGTGAGTGAGTGAGTGAGTGAGTGAGTGAGTGAGTGAGTGAGTGAGTGAGTGAGTGAGTGAGTGAGTGAGTGAGTGAGTGAGTGAGTGAGTGAGTGAGTGAGTGAGTGAGTGAGTGAGTGAGTGAGTGAGTGAGTGAGTGAGTGAGTGAGTGAGTGAGTGAGTGAGTGAGTGAGTGAGTGAGTGAGTGAGTGAGTGAGTGAGTGAGTGAGTGAGTGAGTGAGTGAGTGAGTGAGTGCGTGC